CTGTGGGTAGTTTTTTCTGTTTCTATGTGAAGCTGAGTATTTTCCTTTTAATATCTGTAAAAAGGGGAGTTGGAACTTTGACAGGTATTGCATTGAATCTGTAGATTGGCTTTGGTACAATGACCATTTTATTATATTGATACCATTTATCTATGAGCATAGGTGATCAGAAGTGTGTAGTGGTCTTTATATTAAAGTGCTAGGACACATACATCTGCCATGTGCAGGTGGGTGAGAGTTGGGGCCAGGTTTTCCTGGATTATAACAGTTAGTGTAATTGTTATCTTGACAGAATCTACATTTACCTGGAAGATGGACCTTTGGGCCTGTCTAAGGGAGATTATCTTGACTGCATTCATTGATAAAGGAAAAGCTGCCTACTGTTGGTGGTGACATTCCTTGCTTAGGGTCCTGTGTAAGTGGAATTAATGCAGTATGACCAGCTGTTTTCATGTTCCTGCTTCCTTTATTTCCCTGCCAAGATGAACTGAACCTTGTGAGCTTTTCAAAAACCCTTAAGTTGTCTTTTTTTTCCTAACTCTGACCTTTTATTTTATTTTTTTATTTAAATTTGAAACAAGCTTGTTTTACATGTCAATCCCAGTTCTTGCCCCCTCCACTCCTCCCCTGAACCCCTCATAACCTCCATCCCATCTCCTTTCTGCTCCATAGGGAGGCTGAAGCTTTCCATAGGGGATCTTCAATGTCTGTCATATCAATTGGAGTAGGGTCTAGGCCCTCTCCCATGTGTCTAGGCTGAGAGAGTATCCCTTTATATGGAATGGGCTCACGTTTTTATTGTAAAAGTTTCTCACTTGCTTGGTTCAAGTTACTACATGATATTTTATATAATTTGATGCTATTGTGAGTGGTGTTGTTTCACCGATATCTTTCTCAGTCTGTTTTTCATTTGTATGTGAGAGAGCTATTTATTTTGTAGCTTAATTTTGTATCCATCTACTTTGTTGAAAGTTTTTAATAGTTTCGTAGTACCCCAGTGGAATTTTTAGAGTTCCTTATATATGCACGATAATATCACCTACAAATAAAGGTATTTTGACTTCTTTGTATCAAATTTCTTGTATTTATTCAGACTTGCTTTGTGTTCAAGTATATAGTTAAGTTTGGAGAAAGATTCATGAGGTAATAATAACGTACCTTTTTTGTGTTTCAGTGAAACATTTTGTGAATATTGATCTGCTGTGTTAGATTTATAATGACAGTTAGCTGCAGAATTTTTCTGTTTAGTTTTTGTCTAGGTGACATGTCTATTGGTGAGAGTGGGATATTGAAGTTTACTACTATCAGTGTGTGAGAGCCAATATATGATTTAAGCTGTAATGGTGTTTCTTTTTTGCTAAGTGCATAGATATTGTGAATTGCAATGTCCTCTTGGTGGATTTTTCCCTTGACGAGTATGCACTGTCCTTTCATATCTCTCATAGTTTGTTTCAAAGTCAGAAATTAAAATGTCTACACCACCTTGTTTCTTATGTCCAATTGCTTGTAATATCTTTTTCCTTCCTTTTACCTATAGGTAATATCTATCCTTGGCGTTAAGTTGTATCTCTTTGATGCCGTAATATTTTCTTTGTTCTGTATGTTCAGCATTTTGTTATGTGTATTAAGAATTTCACTTCTGATTTAGTTGTGTGTGTGTGTGTGTGTGTTCTATATGTTCTTTTACATTCTCTATGTTAGGGATGTTACTTTCTCTTTGATTTTTTGTTTTTGTTTTTACATTGACTTAGGGTTCTTCTCCTCCCTTTATGTATATTATCCATAGCTTTGCTCTTTTCCATGTGTTGCAGAAATCTTGGGTGTTTTTGCAAGGATTTTTTAAGATTTAAAATTCTGTTTGGTTGAGGGATCCATTTCTATTAACTTATTTTCAGTGCATTAGGAATTTTTTTCCTATTCTGTTGATGAGGTTTGCCTCTCAGGTACTTGTTCCATATCTTACTTTAAGTTATATTCAGTTTGGGGATTAACAATGATTTCATTCCAACTTTAGTATATTGAACTATTTTTTTCTTCATTCCACACCACTGTTTGTGGTTTCATTGATTTAATTTATGTATTCGTTCATTTCCTGTTTAAAGTCCTTGAACATATCTGTAATCACAATTTTGAAGAGCTTGCCTTGTAGTCAGGTCTGTTGCATTTCTCAGAACCTAAAGTAATACTGTTGTTTGGCTCTAGTGGAGACATACTTTGCTGAATTATATTGATTGCATGTTTTCACTGGCATCTAGGCATCTGGGTCTCCGATGATGGTAATTTTATGTGTTGATATCTGATCTAATTTTTGCTAGATTTGTTATTATCTTGAGGTTTCTGCTGACATTCCAGGATCTTATAAATTTGCAGGGGCTTAAAAGCTCCATATAAGGGATACTTTTGTTTCCCTTCAGGTGTGGTCACTGTGAATCCTAGTTAGAATCTCTTTCCAGATATTGAGAGTTGTCATTTTGGAGTGGAGATAGGCTACAGTGTAGGGGTCTGAGCAGGTTCTCAAGTGGGATTAACCTAGGTCTGCAATCCCTATGGAATAGAGGAAGGGAGAACAGATGGGCAAGTCATATGCTAAAGGGCTCAAATGAGACTGATGAACTGAAAGTGAAGGATGGGAAGAAGAACAAAGATCCTCTTCTTGAGGCTCTGGCTGGTGTGGCTGGTGGGATGTAGGGAGAGAGTCTATATTGATCTTTGTTTCCTTTCCTGCTCATTGTTTCCTTTTTAACTTTGTTCTCTTGTGCGGGTATACACATTGGGCTGCAAATATTTCTGTGTTTAAATTTCTCTGTCAAAATGTTGCTTTGAAATTGAATTTAATGAATCATCTCATTTCTATTTGATAATAGTTTGATATTTAAAACAAATTTTCCATTGATATTGTTAATTCAGACCGAATCCTTTATGCATGGTTATGACCATAAAGCCTGACAATTTAATGCTGCCTCAAAAGTGCAATGTGGATTATCAAAGGGGAAATGGACTCATTTTGGGACTCATATATGTCTTCAGCAAGCTCTCATTTTACAGCCAATTTTATCCACTATGTTCTGGCATTCCACCTGCCTGAGGGCTGTTCAGTTTAATAGATACTCTGTTACAGGGCTCACACTCTGACTAGAAAAACCAAGGTAACCTTCAGGAGAGGAAGAGAGACCAAATGCAAAGCAATCCCACTGCATTTTTCTTTTTCTTCTTCATTATCTTAGTAAAATGACCAGCAAAAATTTAATACTTAAAATTATCCTTTGTTAAAAAAATAACAATACTGTTTTATAATTCATAGTTAAGGGTTACAGTATTTTTATATATCTTAAACCATCTTTATGTCAAAAACAAAAAGATACTTGACTTCGAGGGTAACTTCTTATACCTCCAGGCAAATAGGGAATATTGATGATTTCTGAATACAGAAAAATCATTTAAAAATGCGAATGTAAGAAGCAGTGCTACAGGCCTGGGTAGTTCTGAGTGCATGCTCTCTTCCTACACATCTATGATGGAGGCTGCATGCCACAATTCAATGGAAATACAGGTTAGCATGACGTCATTTGATTTTATTTGTAATGAATTCAGTTAAATATGCACATTTCAGGCATTGAGAATTTAGAGAATTGATATATTTTTGAAATGTTACTTCTTGCCAAAACAGCTCCCATGTAACACAAAGAAAAGTTTTTTAGAAGACAAAAAACCTGAAAGTTATTTTCAAGAAATGTATAAAAATTGGAAAATATTTGTTTGTATATATAGCTACAGTTTTCAAGTTTGCATCTGGATGTAAGAGATAACAGTGTTTGTGTAATTCATCTCAAAATATTGACTTAAGAATGTGTCAACATTCTGAATTCTACCTAAAACTTAGAAATTCATCTTTTACTTTTAATAGTTGTTTCCTTATTTTTTTCCTGTTTTGCTAAGGGATGAACAGCATCTCTACTTCAGAGAGTACTTGCAAAAACTTATTCTTCAAAGATAAGTAATTATCAGGCAAAGTCTGAAACATGGCTTCAAAAAGAACTTGTCATGTAAAATACTTGTAACTGAAGACAAACCTGCTATTATTAAAAAAATATTGTGTTTGAAGAAGTGATTTTTCTTAGGAAAAGACACCCATAAGCAAATAAGAGGGAAGACAACATCTTCCTTGGTCAATTGTTTTAGATTGTGTTTATCTTCTTATTGAGCTCAGTTTTTAAGAAGTTTATGTTAATAATATTTATATGTGTTTGCATATATATCATCCGCTATAGCCTGGATTTCACCCTCACAATATACTTATGTTACACTTAATACTCATTTTTATAAAACTAGATACATTTTCTTCTAAACCAGACTTTTTAAACTAGGTTTTTATTTTCTTTTTGAAAGAGTATTCATGCATATTTCCCAGACTGGTTGGAACTAGATACATAAATGAAGTTGTCCATTTTACCTCTGATCCTCTTACTTCCTCTTCCCAAATGCTGGAATAACAGGCATTGCCACCATAATAAACTTATCTACAGAATTTTGACAGAAAATGTCTATTTATTTCCTAGAAAATTTAGAGTAGATTTTCATTTCCATTTCCAAAAATGTTCCATCTACTTGGTATCTGAAGTGAGGTCCTCCCAGTTTTCAAGTCATTCCTCTGGTATCATTACAGTATAACTCCATTTCAATCTAGCTCAAAATCTTCGATGATTGTGGGAAATGGTAACTTATGTGTCTAAATATTCATCTTGAATATAAGTCACTACATTTGCATTTACTAAATGAATCTTTCTCAATTTGAGATTCCAGGTATGATTTTTAATAACCTTAGAATTTACAATGGCTACTGTCATGGCTAACAGTTTAAGAATATATATCTGTCAAAATTATTGAACTTGAGAGTACAATTTCCTAATTTTCTTCTTCAGATCATGCTTTTGAAAATTTTCATTCATGGAATACAATTTGAATATAATTAGCATTTATGTTTTATTTTGCTTAAATTTTAGGTATGATCCAAAAACAGACACTTGGACCATGGTGGCTCCCTTGAGTATGCCTAGAGATGCTGTTGGTGTATGTCTCCTTGGTGATAGACTATATGCTGTTGGTGGCTATGATGGGCAAACATACCTCAACACCATGGAATCCTATGATCCACAGGCTAATGAGTGGACACAGGTAAGGTTATTATGAGCATAAGTTACTGAAAGTAAAACAGAATTTATTTAAGTTGCTTCTTGTGGATTATGCTTATACTAATTAAAATTTATCTAGTAGAACACAAATGCACCAAAGTGATTAATTTAGTCATATATTTATTGTGAGAGTTTTGACAAAAATTAAATGAATAATTTTGTGTAATATTTTCTCATGCATGTAATACTATAATAAACTGATGGCCATTATTCAGGGAGATTGTATAATGAATCAAAACAAGGAACACCAAAGGATTTGAGTGAACTTGGTAAAGTTCTAAGAAGCACTAAGTAACAATTTCATAGGCACACCCAGAAAACAGAGTTATGTGTCCTCAATTTTTTTAAAAAATATAAACAAGAAAAGGATCCAAATTTCATGTCATTCATCAAATAAAAATCTGCATTGTCCTACAAACTGAAGAGAAATGATTAACTCATAATGAGTAAAAGATAGTCTTCTGAATATTCTCTGTAGTTAGACTCAGGATCAGAATAGAATGAAGCAGGTCCCACTCTTTGACACTCTCCAGATTGCATGGGTAAGGTAGGAAGAAAGAGAATTACAGATCAAGCTTTTTATGTAGAAAACACCTTGAACTACATGACAGTGGAAGTAAAAACATCCCTAGATATGTTCCTTTAAATTCAATTGTCCTAAACTTTCCTTTTATTTCTCTCTCTCCTTAGCTAGAAATCTAACAGGAAGATATTATTTTAATAATAAAATTTCCATTAATTTTCAATTTCAATTAAAATTCAAAAGCTAGATACAATGTTTTCATTCATTGGAATTAAAAAGAAAAGAAACAACCAGAAAATCACACATTTACCATAAAAGAGGTAGCTTATAACATCATGGAGAGACTCAAATCACTGTACACAGACATATGTATGTATATATAATAAGTAAAGTTCCTCAAACTATTTAGTCTCATGCACAGCACTTCACATAGTAAATATGTGCCAGAGAGCACTGGGGAAACTCTTCCAAAAATACAATTCAACTGTTCTCTTGCTCTCATGCATGAGTATGGTTAACTAATCCTTTCTCCCTCCCCTTTTTTGAACCATTATCAATATAGTTAATTTCTTTTCAAAATTCATGTACAATGAATGCAAACTGGCCTACAGTTCTCATATTTTGTAAAAGTGCTTTGGATGGTTTTGATGTTAGGTAAAACTTGACAGCCTGTGCTTTAATTTTCATTATCTACTGTAGGATTTTCACAGTGTTCTTTAATACTCGACTCAATTCTTTTTCATACAGTTAATATGCAGGTGCTAGTGCACAGTGTGATATGGAATATGACTGTATGAAGTTTGTTAAGTGTTCTTCACGAACAAAGTAGATTATCAACCTATGACCCCTTTCAGTTCTTTTTAAAGACAATTATTCTGTAAGGAAAGAAATACCACATCAAATTTGCTTTTACAATAATTTATTAAGTGATATGATAATAAACCACATGAATTTTGTGCTAAAATGTTGCAGGGGGGTGATGAGCAGTAATAAATACAGTTAAAACCATTAGTAGATAAAGAGTTTCATTTCCATATTTAGCAAATTTCATACATTCTTGGTCAGTATATAATCTGAAGTAGATCATATGAGGCACTTCATTGTTAACTATTTTATTGTTTCCAATTTTGCTACTTATAGTCTGAAATAATGTACTATCATTTTCTATGTACCTGGTATTCTACAAAAGTCAAGTGCAAAATTATAACTCAATTGCAAAAATTATGAATTACCTCATAGGAGACATTTCATTAATTTTTGTGATTTTTATTTTAATGTATGCCTAACAGGTTTTATATTCAGAATCATTTTAGAAACTCTACATATTCATTTTAATGACCATCATATAACAAAACATTCTTAATAAGCAATGTAATAATTATGTAATTATGAACTATCCATTAAAACTTATTAAATATACTATTTGTGAGATATCTGTGCCTAGGACAAATCTATAAAACATTGAATTCCATACAGTATCTGTGGAAACACTTCAAAGCAAATATAGTCACATAACTTTTGTGATGAAATATAGAAAATGTGTCAAAGAATAAAACTTTGTTGGAAATCTTTTCTATTAAATTCATTTCATTCAAATCCTACTTTAGTACTTTTGTTAAAAATTTCTGTAAGTAATTACATTTTTTAAATTAGAATGCTTTGATTGTCTTGTATTACCTGTGGGTGTAATGGATAATATAACCACATTTATTTATGATTTTCATGTACATGGTTTTAAAATTTAGCATGCTGTATATAGAGTCCTATGATGGTAATCCATTTCTCTTGTTCCACCTTTTTTCCACAGATGGCTTCCTTGAATATCGGAAGAGCAGGGGCCTGTGTGGTTGTCATCAAGCAACCTTGACTAATTTCTATAATATTTAGAGGGATTTTCTTTGCTACTGTGGTTATTTTATATCATGTGGTAAGACTGAAAAGGAACTTCCTGAGATGAAAACTTCTCAGGAACAGGACTTTTGTAGATTTACCTGCTTGTGCCAAAAGCAGTAAAAAATCAAATAGAATTATAGGAAAGAAGAAAATACAGAAACAAGATCAAGCCAAGTGTTAGTTAGTACAGGAATGGTTACTGGTAATGTTGTGCATTGTAGCATACAGTAACTATAGTTACCAAAGGCTGGTTTATCAGAAGACACCCCTGTTTGTTATATAGACAGTTCCTTAATGACAGATCAGTCACTTGCTTTATAATATGTGAGGACATCCAACAGGCTGCCAAGAGTAGAAGTTAATAATACTTCATCTTGATAAATCTGATGGGTTTGATGTTTTTCTAATCAGATGTGATGATACCAGGAAACGGGAAGTTTTATTTGAACAAATGTGCTTCTTTCTAATTTTCCTCAGCTATGTAAACAATTAGAGAGACAGAGGACTGCTTGTCTCTTGCATTCAGAAAACAAACTGTTCTGCTATTCAACACTGCATATTGTATCCAAGATGATGGCTGGATTTTATTGCAACTGTGTCATCCATCTGAAACTGGCAAACTAAAAGGACTTTTCACTAAGCTTGCCTCATTGACTTGCATTGTCAACATACTGGTCCAAAAAGTCAGTATGGCTACTGGCATTTGCCTCATGCAGAGTTCAATATAAGCATGGATGCTAGTTATTCTGAATGTTAATATACCCACTGCATGCTGAAGTCCCATAGAATTTTGTTCTCTAAAACAAACTTAGAATTTTGAGACAAAAGTTTTCAAATCATTACAATGATTGTAACCATTGGGATGATTACAATAACTGTGACAAGGATGACTGACTACAGATTCACATTACCCATTTTCAAACACTGGTATGCACATTATTTTAGACCAAATGTTTGTAATTGTTTTAAACCACAGTGTGAAACTTTTATGTAACATCATTAATATATCCATGTAAATTATAAGATAGTTAATAAATGATAGAGCATTTGCTTTTATCAGTGTATCTTCCTTCACTCCTTTTTTTTCATAAAACTGATTATTATATTGTTGTGTTGTAGGTGTAATTGTGTATGTGTGTGTGTGTGTGTGTCCATGTATATGTAGTCTACATAAAATTTACTAACATTTTTCTCTCATTTTGTGAATTATGTCTTCTCTGTTTCTGTTACTTACTAGGATGCAAGGTCATTACTTTGAGTGGTCACCATGTATTATTTGCTTCCTAGTAGGAAAACTCATAGGATGGCTTGGTGTATAAAATATCTGCCATGGTAGTATGAGGGTCTGAGGTCAGACACCCAGGACCCACTAAAAACTAAATGTGGTATCTTGCATTTGTAATCCCATTATTCCAATATCCAGGTATGAGATAGAGTCAAAAGAATCACCAGATGCCCCAGGACCAATCAATTTGGCCTTGTGCAGTGATAAGCAGGAAGAGACTTATCTCAAAGAAGGTGTAATACAAGGAGAAACACATACAAGTTGGCCTCTGGTCTCCATGTATATGCTATGCAATACACGTACATCTGATCTCATAGACATCAAACATACACACACATACAAAACTTTTCATCCTTATAATTTTATCTAATTATTCAGAGACTTTTAGAAAGCAATTAATATTCCATGATCAAATGAGGAAGATTAGCAGGTAACTTTTACTCTTGCATATATATTTAGCCAAGAAAATACTAATAAAACAAAATTTTTAAAGGGGAATATGTTTATATTTTATATTCTGAAGATAAAAGAACATGTTCAAAATAGGGTCATTTAAGTTTGTAGAAACATTAAATAAAATGAGTGTGTTTAAGAACATCCCAAATTGCTACCACTTCTTCTTAGGGAGCTATAGTTCTACAGAGTGCACAACTCCTTCTTCTATGTGTAACATTTTGTTTAAGACACATTTCTATGTGTGAGTGCAGAGTGAGTATATACCTGTCTAGATGAGAATTCATGACATGGACACAGCCCTGTCAAGAAACCCAATGCCTCAGACTTAGGGTTCTCAAGCAAAATCTAGGACCATGGCAAACAGTGCTCCTGTCCAAGGAAAGATATTGACAACATTTTCAGAAAATACCAACCACAGGTTCCTTTCTGAAGTTTAGCTGCAGCCTGAGATTGCTCCCTGCAGAGATTCACCTACTGAGATTAGCTATCACAGGACCTCCTTCATCACTGTAGGACATGCCCATTTGCTCAGTCCCCTTACTGTAGGAGATCCACCTAATCATCCACTACTCTGCCATAATAGTACTGAATTTGTAAGCTGTGTTTCCTTCCCAGGCTTGTTCATGGTCCTCCCATTCCCAGTTTTTCTATGCATGAATCTTCTATTTCTCACTTATCCCAGTCAGAGTGATCCCCAAACTGTACAGTTGATAGTTGGAGCAAACTGTATTTAACTGCTTTTTATTATCACCTTTTAATTAATAAATTTTATTTAAATTAGAAACAATCTCACTTTATATATCAATCACAGCTCCCTCCCTTCCTCCCATGCCCAACACCGACCCCTGATCCCATCCAAAATCCACTCGCCAGGGAGGGTGAGGCCTTCCATGAGGGATCATCAAACTCTGTAAAGTCACTTGGGATAGGGCCTAGGCCCCCCCCCCATGTTTCTAGGCTAAGAGAGTATCACTTCATGGGAAATGGATTCCTGAAGTTCATTCATGTACTAGGGATACATACTAGCTCCACAACCAGAGGCTCCATAGACTGCCCAGTTCTCCTGGCTGACTCCCACATTCATGGGGCTTTGTTTGGTCTTATGTTGCTTCCCAAGCTGTCAGACTGGGGTCCATGAGTTCCTCCTTGTTCAGGTCATCTGTTTCTGTGATATGTCCCAACATGGTCTTGACCTCTTGTTAGTCCCTCCTCCCTCTCTGAAACTGGATTCCAGGAGTTCTACTTAGTGTTTAGCTATGTATCTCTCCTTCTGCTTCCATCAGCTACTGGATGAAGGCTCTAGGATGACAATTAAGGTAGTTGTCAATCTCATTATCAGGGAAGGGTATTTAAGGTAGCCTCTCCACTATTGCTTAGTTTCCTACTTGGGGTCATCCTTATGGATCTCTGTACAAGTCCCTAATGCCAGATCTCTTTTTAAAATTATACTGGCTCCCTGTACTGATGTGTCTCTTTTCTTGCTCTCCTCTACTCATCTCCCCACTCAATCTTCCCTATCCCTCATTTTTTTTCTCCCACTCCTTT